ATTTCATTTTGTCAAAACTGTTTCGTTTTTTTGATGTTTCGCCTATAAGCTATAATGGGGAAGCATGAAACCACCCATAACTTTGCCATTTCTCACCCCATTCAGATGAAACATGCAGGGACAGTGGCTCCTTGTGAAGCCATGAAGGCTGCCAAATTTCAAGGAGATAGGTGAAGGGGTTTCTGGGAAACTGCACCTCAGGCTGCTGACAAGCAAAACTTATGATGTGGGTGGGTGACACTGTGTGTGTGTTAAAGTGTGCCCTCATTAGTGCTGGGGCCTCTACATTAGATTGTAGTGTGCTCCAATGAGGTCTCCTCCTCCCCTACAGCCTCAATCCAGTCCACCACTTTAAATGACAACAGGTAATATAATAACTTAGTGAGCAGCACAGTAGCACCAGCATTATCTCAGGCAGCCAAGCTGTGACAGAGCCTTTCTTTCCTCTCTTGCAAGAGCTTCTTCTTCAGCAGCTGCCAGAGAACTCTCCCAGTCAGCCCCAGCCCTGGGGCTTAGATGTGCCCAGAGCCCTATGTCCTTCTGGTCAGGTGCTGGGGTGCTGGTTTAAGACATGGCACTGACAGACAAGATCCTTTCCTTTGGGTCAATCTAGTTTGGTATGTTTTAGCAGCCCAACTGAATAGTTAAATAAATATATCTTAGCAAGCTTTCGAGTTGAAAAACCCTTTGTCAGGCTGAGGAAGCACCTGCAGTTGGTGTATAGGTGTGCTGTTCCTGGATGGAAGGAATAATAAAGAAGCCAGAGGCTGGAATGCAATGCAGACAAGAAAGCCAGTCAGTGAAAATGGAAATGGAGGCATCAGCGGGTGTGGGACAGGCTGGAGGGGAGGGAAGGGGGATGTAGCAGCACAGTTAGAAGTGGAGAGGTATGGGGGGAATCTTACACCTCTCCCTCTACCCCCTCTTCTGCCCCTCCCTGAAGGCTTGTCAGCTGCCTTTCTACCGCACTTCATGGTGTGTTTCATAGTGTCTTGTTTTTATAAAAATATATAAATGTATCTTCCTTCCCATATAAATTCTACAAGATCTGTATATGCCGCAAGGTATAAATGTACAGAAATAAAATATAAATGCATCTCCATTCCTATATAAATTCTATAGTGTAATAGCCAATATAATTATAAAATTGAAAAGAATAAATCAATGAATATAATAATAAAATAAAAGGGCCTAGAAGAAAGCAAAAGATATTGCGAAATCTCACTTGCTAGGCTAGCAAGTAGGAAATCATTCAAATCAATGCTAGTAGTAGCCTTTGTTATCTAATGCTCCTGAGCTGCTAGAAGACAGCTCAATAACTGTCAGACCGTAAGGCAGAAAAAGCAGGTCCCTTCAAACAATGCTGCTTTTTATGTTATGTTGTTTTTCCATCCCCCTCCCAGAGCACTGGGATTGGAAGGAACTTCAGTGAAGGATCACATTCACTGGCCAGCAACACAGTCAATACGAGAGGAGTCCTTCCCCCCTCTTCCCCCTCCCTCTCCTTAGGTTCTGCTTTTCTGCAGGCACCCAGTTTCAGCTTTGAAACATGAAACATTTCAAAACATTTCGACTGTCCTCGTTTTGTTTTGAGGCTGTTTCAAAGCCCTTCATTTGGATTTTCCTGTTTTGAGCTCAAAATTATTTGAAACGGCGTCGAAATAGCCAGCGAAATTTTGCACAGCCCGACTGCAAACTACATGTGCTACAAAATGCCTTAGTTGGAGTCCTGAAAGCAGAACAGTCTATGAATAGGAATGATGTTATGTATAAAACTACTATGAGTGTTCTCATTGTACCTGCAACCAGGAGTTGGCCTTTTCCAGAGTCTCAGCACAGATGAGTGGCACTGTATGCCAGCAGTTTGCTGTTTACAGTCTGCACTATGTTTCATTAATTGACTTAACACCTAACGATCATAATTTTAATTGACAATTGGTAGAAAGCCCCAAATATATCCTATAAAGGGCGTGTGTGTGGGGGGGTAGTGGTGTTTATTGTTCAAGAACAACCAAAAGGGTTAAAGATGACAGATTTTGGCCCCAAAAGTCTCCAAATCACTTTAGCCATTCTAGCCCCAATCTAGAACATAGTATTCTTACTCATACTCTTAGGCTGAATACAGACATTCAAAAAGCCCAAGGAAGAATCGATCTAAGAGACGTGGTTTTTTGAAAAGTGAAGGTAGTTTAGATCAGTAGCAAACAGAATACACATATGCCCTTTGGGGTCGAGAAGCGGGGGTGCGACAAAACTTAGATTGGGTTCTGCCATTTTAAAACTAGTCCGTGTGTGTCAAACTTCTGTTCTGTTGAGTATAGATTGGTTTCCAATCACTTACACTGGTAAAAGTGTAACATCTGTGCCTGGCCTTTAGAGGAGGAAATAGAATAGTTAGAGATGTATTGAACTCACAGATTAGATCCTTCATTAGAGAGAGGAGAAAAAGCTATAAAAGACAACCTACCACTGAAAATCCAAATCAACCCAATCAACAATTTTTTCACGTAATAATCCTGATTTAACTTTTTCCTTCTCCTCCGACTCAATATCAGCCCTATTATCAGTGTGTTAAGTGAGACAGTAAAAGGATTTTCTAGTGTGTTTTATCTTTATGCTTTCTCTTTCAAACCTATTAGAAGGTATCAAGATAAAGAAAAGATAGTTTTGAAAAGTTTAATTTATCCAAATGTTTGGATTTAATGCAAGTTAAAAATCGTAACTATATCTTTATTTAAACACTGACATTTTTGTGCCACCAACCGTAAAATTAGGATTTATTTCCAGTGGTCTCAAGTGGCATATACTGTCTTTTAATAGAGCATCAGCCAAATTACTGCCCTATTCATCTTATTTTACACAGGCTGTTTTGTATCTAAAGATATGGTGAAAACGTAACTCAATGAGTTACTAAATATTTTAAAATAAAGTTGGCTATAAAAAGATGTTGAATGGAAACCACTGCATATATTCCTTATTTTACAAAATAGCATATATGTAACTACAACTTTTAAAAAAAACTGTTGTTACAGCAAGTATTTAAAGGGATGATATCCCTACTGTCTGTGTGACTTCATTTGGTATTTCCAGGATAAAACAAGCAAATTCCTACTTAAGTCAATGGTTTCTGCTGGGTAGTTGACATTTTTTAAAAAACAGACCATTTATTTAGATGTCTAGATACACTTTTAAGAGTCCAGTAAAACTTTTTTAAAATCAAAATTGGAACCATGTCACATAAATTTTAAATAGTGTATCAGGAATTTCTATTTCTGTCAATCACCTCCTTAAGAGCTCTGCTACAAAACAAAAGCAGTAACTAGAAATTAAATCCACTACACTTCTCCCCTCCCCTGAGATAAAACTGTAGCTTAAGTGAATCAGTTTACGTTTTGCTATTGATTTCAACTGAATCAATCATTCAACTCTGATGTCTAAAGATAGGACAGGGTGGTTCACATTATATGTGGAGTTCTCAGGCAGAAGTCTACCTCAATACTGTAGGTTCAGTTTTTCTCTTCAGAACTGTAAAAGTGGCTATTAAGCAGACAAAGGCACTCACACGTATTAAAGCATCATTCTCAGTTTGGGGCAATGAACTGTCTTTATTCATTACTAATAAATCTGCACCATTTTGTAAACTTATCCAACAAAATATTAACATAATCCAACATAATCCTTTTGTTTCATTTTTATTTAGTAGAAACAGAGTTAACAAACATCTTAAAGTTACTTAAGCTCCATCAAAAGGGCTCTTAGATGAAGAAAAATGAATTTATTTCAGGCCAAATTTAAATGATTTCAGATAGAGCATTTTGATTTTCTGGCATCATGCCTTTCTGTATAAGTAGGGCACAAACTTACTGCATGATCAAATACTTTTGAATCAACTTCACATCTCAGTTATGGCTTTCCTTCTTTAGAAAAAGAAAAGTACGCAAACTAATTTGATGCAGGAAATAAAACCCAGAATAATGGGAGAAAAAGCCTACTTCAAATAAGTATATACCAAATGATATTTTGGTCAAGCTTATAAGTGTATGGAAATTCTTACTAACAGGATAACAGATCAAAAGCCCATACCCATTATCTTCACCAGGCTCTGGATCGGACACGAAGCAGAATTTATCAAGTTTTAAATGCATCCGTTAGTTCAGTTAAGTGCAATAACAACAAAACTATGAATCACTTACCTGTATGTCCATTCATAGCAGCAGAATACAAGGCAGAATAGCCATCTTCACAGGAGTAATTAATGTCCAGTCCTTCTTCATTAAGCAGCATTGATAATAAAGTGACATTTCCCTGGGCAGCAGCTTGGTGAAGAAGGGTGGGCCTGCCACCCAGGGGGACAGGACCACCACTCATTAACAAAGGGGTTAGGGAGGGAGACCAGCCTGCGAGTTAAAGCAACAGAAGTTAAGAGGGAAGACACCAGTAAATTAAAGCTGTGCGATTTTCTGAGCTATTAAAATACAACCCCCCAAACCACAAACAGGCTCTTCAACAGGATCCATTAGAGTTTAGCATGAGTCTTGCAATGTTATTTTTGTCCCTACATCTAAAGATAATTAAAATCACACACACAGTGGTGTCAAGTTATTTTCTTTGTTAACTCAAATTAATAGGATTCTATTATTATGGGTTAACAAAAACACACTTAGGAAAACATGAAACAGCTGCCACAGTCCAAATTTTCTGGCATACTCGCTCCTAAAATTTAAAAGCTACTGAAAACATTATAAAGGCTTTGGCCTTAGTTTTAATTATTTTATTTTCATTGCAAATTGATTTCTCTTCAAAATCTTAATCTTAAACCTTACAATATTTCAACTTGAGTATCGTGGCCAAATAGGATAGAAAATGTAGTACAAATTGCTTCGGCTTTATTTAAAAATAAAGACTCGGTTTACTAAAAATTGCAGAAGTGTAGTTACTTTTGAACTATCCTTTATTGTACAATCTGATTTTACTCAAAAGATACTGCAATTTCTACTATATTTTATGGAATGGACCAATGCTGAGTGAGTAGCTATTACATCAAAATTGTTAGCAAAAGCTTTCAAGTCATCCAACAAAAAGGATCTGCAAAACAGAGTTTTAAAAATCTTAGTTATCTTTGTTAGATGTTCCATGTATCATCACTTAGCAGCTTTAGAAGAGAGTTTGTTAAGAGCATGAAGTTTGCTGTATATAGTATGGAAGACTTTGTGAACTCTTCCTTGATCAAAAGACTGCAAAAGAAAATAGGAGAAAGGATTGAAAAAGGTGTTATTTTATTTATACATAAATATTTTACCCTTTGAAAATGAGAAATTCCATACCACTTTTCCTATCTGGATAGTTTGTTCTAGAGGTTTGTGTACAGCTTCCAATCCCAAACATGATGCTGAAATTTGGAGTACTTTAATTGTTGTCAGAAGAACACACTATTAGGTTAATTTCAAAACAAAATTTTACTACTAGTACATAGACACAGCGATGTATTTGTTTGCACCACTTTCCAATAATTTGTCAAATAATACATTTTTCTATATAGATAACACCCCAAAAATATCTCACGACTCAGGCATGTACCTGTATTTAAAGTTACCCTCTGTATATTACTTCTAACTGAAGGGCAACTTTGAAATTATTCAACTTATTAATAGTTTTACTTTTAAAATTTCTTTAGACTAGGATACAGTCTAAACAAGCAGCAATGAACACTAGACAAAAATTTAATTTATAAAAGCTGATTTCTTACATTTTTCTAGCTTGTTGTTACTTTGTAAGCCTAGATGCGTTTGAACTGCTACAGTGTGTATTCTATTTTTGCTGAGTAACTTAAGGGCATTACCTGTCTTAACATTACAATTCACTGTATTTTTAAATTCTGATTCTTGAGTGTAACATTTCCTTAGAAATCAATTCTTTGTTTAAATGTGCTCTCTCATGTCAGGAATTAATTCTGTTTAAATTGGATTGACTTCTGGATATTTTGGGGGGGATTTCAGCACTTGACTATGAACACAAAATTCACTCGGTCAGTCATTATGAAATATGACAAGTATTTCTAGGATTCTACTTCTGTTTAAAAGTAGTACATTTCAGCATAATTAATAAGAATATAAGAAACAGGATGCTTATTTTGAGTTACTGTAAACAGACATCTGGTAGCTTTATTCTCATTTTCAACTGTTTGAAAGGGTAAATATACTGCTGCACTCAAATGATGAAATTCATTGTGCTAGATTAAGACTGGATGAAAAGCTTCTACTGCATAAGAAATAAAAACCAAGTAATCATGTAAATGCAAAATGCAACTTCCGTTATCACTGGGAAGCAGCATAATAGTTATATTCATCCAGGAAAATGCATAAATAGGGTTATAAAATGTCAATAAGGTATGTATTTTCATATGCAAAAGTTAGCAGATGTAATGCATCCATGAAAGCTTGCAAGACATGCAGTAATGAAGGGCACAGACGTAGAAAACACAGCTTCTGGCATCAGCTTCAGAATGTGGAAGTGGTTAATTTCACAGCCTATATCAATCTTCCCCATTTTCCCACCTCCCTTTTATCTTCTAAGCCAATCACATACAAAGTTAAAAAAAAAAAATCAACAACTATAGAATGAACTGAATAAAAACATACTCTGATTGAAAAAAGATTTAAAAAGCACAAACCAAGGAGATAGAAGGAAGAAAGCCGAGGGGTATGGAAATTCAATTGTCTAGAATAATTTTTATGTTAAACACATGTATCCATGGATATTTAGAATTTAAAAATTAGAGTAGAAACACTAAACATTTACTGACACTTCTTCATGTGCAACTTGTAAGCAATTGACAAAGTCTGGCTCCTTTTCTCACCAAGGAAGAGAACAAAGAGCAACAGTATGTTGTTGAACTGAAACCAATAGGTACCTGTTTTAAACTGGATTTCATTACGTATCAAAAGTAGAACCAAAATACTTCATTATAAAATGAGCATTATTTTAAGAAACATGGTGGTCTTACAAAGAACTGAATCCATTAGTGTCATTAATGAAAAAATAGTGATTATATTCTCTAGAAATCCTCCTGAATCCATATTAAAAGGAAAGAGACTAGCAAGAAATCATCACAATTCAAAACCATTGATGTATGTTAATATGTTAATTTGGTTTGCAATATTTTTAAAGAGTACTAACAAATTCTGATTGAGGTACATTGTTACTTACTATACCAGGGCAGTCCAATTGGGTTAGGTACTGACATTCAAAAATCCTGACGTAGGATCGATCTAAGTTATGTGGTTTTCTGTAAGCAGTGTAGTTTAGATTTGTGGCCTGCAAAGGGCCCACACGTGGCCTGCAGGCCCTTGCAGCCACCTCTCCCAATGCCACACAGCTTCAGGAGGGCTGGGGAGGGGACCACATGTCATTCATGCAGCCCACACGCCTCTAGCGCAGCCTGTGTAGTATGGGACGGAGATTTGGGAGGAAATGAGGGCTGGGATTCTCAGGGCTCAGACCCATAGCACATGGCCCAGAGGCTGCAGCCCCTGGCTGAACTGAAGTTGTACAGTCCTTTACTATTCAATAATATACAAACAAGATTCAGTATGCCACCAAATAACAGAATTCACCATAAGGCGTAGAGTGGGAAAGGTAACTAGTAGGTTGGAAATGCTAGACTTTAGGAAGGCTGACTTCAGCGAGCTCAGACGTTTAGTCAATGATGCACTGTAGAGTAAGAGATTTAGCAAGATGGGAGCCCAGGAAGGGTGGCTGTGCCTTAAGGA